CAAGAGATTTTCAGGAGAGCGCCCATTATCTAGAAGCTGAAGATCACTCTCACTTCACGCCAAGGCAACTGAACGAACGAGATCGAGGAAGTAAAGACTCTCATGGAAGGCAGGTGCTTCCAGTATCCCTGAGGGAGATTGGCAGCAGAGAAACTTCGGCCCCCAGTTCTTTTGATGATTCAGATAGAGAGAAGGTCAGACAAAATGAACCCAGCAGACGCGGACAGGGAGACCGTGGTAGGACACGGAACCGCGGTAGTCACAGAGGGCGCGGTCAAACTGGAATACGACGAGCAGAGAGCATTTCCGGTGTGACGGGAGAGGGGCCTGCTGACAACGTGAAAGACGAAGATGGTCGGTCTCAATTTGAAAGAAATAAGTTACTCGTCAGAGGGCTAGCAGAGGAAACATCTCAAGACGGATTGTTGAACTTTATCGAGGCAAAGAGCAGTGGGCAAGAAGTTGAGGACGTACAGATTCTCAAGAATGGAAATGCCTTGGTCATCATGGCTGATGATATTAAAGGTAGGGAGTTTTCATTTGAATGGTGTAGATTTTGATTGATCGTGCTGCTCTGATCTGTTCGCAATTTATTAAGCGACAGAGCTCACGCCAACTTAGTTACAACGTCTCAATTTCAATCAATGAACTAATCGTCGATAAAAATGTTTGATTAAAAATGTTGCATACTTTGTTTGAAGCATAAGAATTAGGATGCCTTTTTAAGGTATACAGTGGAACCTCTCTAAACCGGACCCTCGTTAAACCGGAATCCTCTCTTTACCGGACCAGTTTTTCGGCCCCCAAATCTCTGTCATACATTTTCTCTCTTTTTAACCTCAGTAAACCGGAACCCTTCACTTCCGGGAACCGGACGCTCTTTTCAGTCCATAAATCACATACTGACAAAGAAATTGACCTCGTTAAACCGCCAAAATCAAATCACACGTTTTTAGACGTGATTAAAATTTAAATTATAATCATGCAGCTGTGAAATCCGAATCAGAAGTGAGAAACACGCATCGCCTAATTACTCATTGTTCTATTGGTACTGAAGCAAAGAAGCGAAAGTCGACAATCGTCCCGCTGTTGTTGGGTTGAATGAATGACAACAATAGGGGTCACGTTAATAGAATGTCATGCTGCAGGTGAAATCACTTGCTAAAACAGACGAAGTAGCAAACATCACTGTGTCTGAGAGACCAGCGAAACGCCAAAGAATCGAGTTGTCGTTAGAGAAGAAAATTAAGTTGATCAAATGCGGGGAGTCAGTGCCTAAACCAACACTGTGGGCTCTAAGCGGTAAATTTGGGATTGTATACCATATACTGGTACTTACAGTCAGACAATACATTATTCGGCACATAATTGCCATATGGGTAAAACCTCAGTACACCGGACACCCCTCCCAACCGGACATTTTCTACTGGTCCCAAGGGTGTCCGGTTTAGAGGGTTTCCACTGTATTACCAGTTTTTGATATTTCGAGAAATAAACTCCGATTGCTTTTCTTTATTAAACTATCAAAATAATTCAGATCCAAGTAATCAATTGATGTGAGTACAAGTTTTTAAATGAGGGTTGTCTTTCAGGATGACTTCCAAACGGTAAATTGAACAAGAAAAAGGTTTGTTGAGAATGCGATCTTATTTTAGATTTCAGAAAAATCAAGACCAAATGCGAGGAAAGAGGTCTGGATGGTGCGCAAGTTTCCATTGAACAAGTCCCGGTTTGCAAAAGCATCCTTGTCACTGGCTTTTCTGAAAATGTTACCCATGATTTTATTGAACTGTACTTTGAGAGTCGTCGAAACGGTGGGGGTCCTGTGGAGAAGGTTCACTATAGACCTAAAAGTGGTCGAGCTGTGGTTGTGTTCCAAGACGCAAAAGGTTTGTAACTCACTGATCTCTAAAATGTAGGTATTGTCTTATTCCTTCAGGCACAATACACGACATCCGAAACTCATTGATGTGTTAATATTGATTTTTTTATTTAAACCAGGACTGAACATTGGACTAATAGATAGACAAAGAAGTGAAGTTGAAAAGGAAGGGTCGTGAGTTGAAAAACGACAAATAACTTTCTCCTGGAAATTCCTGATACTTAGTTGTTTCAATCAACAGATATGGAAAAGGTGATAACCAGACACGAAGAGAAACCTCATGTGTTACAACAAACCCAGGTGTCAATTAAAGTTTACCAAGAGTTTCTAGAGGGTGAAGACGCTGATTTAGCAGATGGTTCAGGTGACTTAGGAGCTTGTGCAACCGGAGCCAGTGAAGCTCGAGTGAGCAAGAAGCCCGATGCCAAAACACAACAGCTACACATAGCGGTGGATCCAGATGTCATGGAATACGTCAATTCCACAGGATTTCAAGCTGAACTGAACAATTCGCTGGCTGTAAAGAAGAGCGAAATCACTTGGAAACCTAACAGCAAAATGGCTGTAATAGTGTACCGTGGGGAAGACGACAGCGATTCCTGGCAATCTGAACGCATTGACCAGGTGCAAAGTTATCTCGGCAAGTTTGCAAAGTGTGATGTGCAGGTCACCAAGGATTTTTGGGAAGCCGTGGTAGCCAATGTTCCCAGCATTCGCGCCTGCTTGGGAGTTGATCCCCCGCTGGTCAAGGCTATTTCAGATTCAAATGTTGCAAGGATCGTTTCATTGGGAACAGATGTGAAAAGTAACGAGGAAAAAGTGAAGTCTAAGTTAGAAGAAATCTACCGCGAGGAGACTAGAAAAACTTACCTAAAGAAGAAAATTCCAAATGTTCCCGAGGAGCGTTTAATTTTGCTGAAGAAAATAAAATTTGCTGAGAAACTTCAAGAGAAGAACAAAGAGTTGGAGATCAAGTTCGACACTGAAGCTGAAGAAATATATTTTGAAGGTCCCCGGCCACAGTTTACTGAAGCAACCATGAAGTTCTACAAACAAATGGCTGACATGGTTGAAAAGAAACTTACTTTATCCGTCAGCATCCTGGAGATTTTAAACACGGATGAAGGACTTCAGACAGTAAAACGTGAGTTGGAAAGAAACAACGTGGAAGCAGTGTTCGTTATTGAGAAAGACGCCACCATAGTGGGATCATCAGCAGCCCATGCAGACAACGCAGCGAGGCTCGTGAACAAATTAATGCTGGAAGAGAAAGTTCAAGTGGACGAGAAAAGCAA